CCCAGGTGTCCAGAGAGGAAGCTGGAGTCTTTACTAAGACAAAACAACAAAAGGGTGCGTGGAGGAGGGAGTTTCAAAGTTGGGAGGGGGGATAGTTTGAAAGGAGAAAGAGAGGGAGGAAAGAAGGGAGAGAGAAAGAGGGAAATCCCTATAGTCAGAGAGAACCCCGCTCACAGCAGGACAATGCAGCCTGCGGTCTTGCAGAGGGGGTGAACTAGAGGAATGGGACTCCAAGAGTGGGGAAAGTGGTGGGGAGAAGGGATGGGGAAAGAGCCGGGAGAGGGAGGGGTGGGCGGGTTTAAAAGGAGGAAGGAGGGAGGAGGGGTTTAAGGAAGGACTCTGGGGAAAGGTCTGCTGGGGAGCAAATCAGAGAGTGAGATAGGGAGGGGGCAGGCAGGAAGGAGCCTCTAGGGGAGGGAAGAGGGGTGGGGAGTTGTGCCTAGGGATGGGGAAGGGGAAAGCGATGGGGGGAGAGGATGGGGAGCTGAGGGGAGGAGGGAGGGTGGGAGGAAGGAAAGGAGAAGGGAGGGCCTAAGGAGATGAAAGATGAGGGCAGGGGTTGGGGGCTTCAGGACAAGCAGTTCTCTTGGAAAGGGCGCAGGGCAGGCTTGAGGAAGGTGGACAGGGGGTTGGAGGGCGAGACGGAGACTGCAGGGATTAAGTGTCAGTGAGTAATGAGGCAGAGCCGGGGAGAGAAGAACAGAGCTGACAGCTCTCTGTCCAATTATAGACCAACTTTGCGGGGTATTTCGGTCCCTTTTACTGTCCAATCTGAAATAACTCGCCCCTGGGGGAGGGGTAAAGGGAGGGGAGGAAGACGAGAAGAACCGAAAGAATTCATTGATTTATTTATTTATTTTTGGAGGGGGTAGTGCAAAGGAGACTTTGTGCTTTGTCCCAAGCTGTAAATACAAGCCCAAAGTCCTCCCGCGGGCCCTATCCGTCCTAAAGGGGTGAAGGGTCTCAGAGGGGAAACATCCCAGGGCTTGAGAGAGAACAGGTGGCCCAAATGGGGCCTGTTCCCTTTTCGCTCCCTGACCACTGTTTCTAAAAAAGTTCCAGTGTGGGGTATTTTGGGCTAGTTGGGAGTAGAGCAGGGCTGGCTGTTGAGGTCTCCCCGTCCCCCTGGCTCCAACTGTGCTTCACCACAGACTCCTCAATTCTGGGGTTTCTTCTTGCCACAGTACACGAAGGCAGTGACCCGTGAAATAAGTGTACAGAGTGGGACTTCTTTTGGGGGGCGGGGGCAGGAAAGAATGGAACCACTGTGCTCCTACTGTCCAGAGACGGTGATTTGGTGGTCCTGAGCATGAAGTTGGAAGGGACCTTGGGAAACATTGCCCTAGCCTAACCCTTACCTAAAGCAGGAGCTCAAACTTGAACTTTTGTGAGTTGCCACCCAATATCTGTTGGAAGACTTTTTATAGAAAAAATGAGCCACTTCAGCCAAACTTCTTGCTATTCCCATTTGCAATATCCCATCTCCCCTCTACATGTTTTTGCACAAGAAAGTTCCTCCTCCTCACTCGGCCCTTAAAATCTGTAACTTCCTTTAAGGCTCAGTTTAAGTGCTGCAGATTTAACCCTAATCTTGTCTGATACCCTCCCAGCTGTTACGCTAACAAATTATTTTATCAACTATGTATATATTTTCCGTTTACTTTTCTGTACATGTTGTACTACCAATACGATCTATGCTGACGGGAAAGATTGTTTCATTTTTTTTTGTCTGTCAGGAATACCATAGGTGCTTAATAAATATGTATTCAATGAGTCAATGAATCAATGAGCAACAGAGTGAGATTTAGGAGACCCTAGGTCATGCTTGGGCTGACATCAGCTCTGTGACCGTCTGTTCTCTGCTTCCCCACGTGGTGAAATGCTGAGCAGGATGCTAAGGTCACTTGCACTTCTACTATTCTAAGAGTAATAGTGAATTGATTACTTCACAAGGCAACTACATCTCCCTGGTTGTTATTCTCATTTGCTGGATGCGGGAACTGAGCAAATTAAATAAAAATACATCTTCAGTGGCTCTCTATTTTCTCTGTAATAAAATACCAACCCTTCAGCTTGGCATTTAAAGTCCTTTATAATCTGGCACTTTCCTATTCTTCCAAATTTATTTTGAATTATTTCCCCTTCCTCCAACCTTCTAGTTGTTTCCTGAACTTTCTGTGCCTTTGCATAGGCTTCACCCCATCATGTTTGGAATTCACTTTTTCTTTTTTAAACTTCTGCCTCTTAGAACTATTAGCTTCTTTCAAGGCTCAAATAAGGTGCCTCCTCCTATAGGAATCTATTCCTGATCACCCCAGTTATCTAGTTATTGGTGATCTCTCCCCCTCCGATGACAGCATATGGTTTGATTTTGTTGCAGATCGTGGCAATATTTGTCAGCCTCTCCCAGGAGGGATTGGAGGAGAGACAGCACCTTTCCCCAATCCCCATATCATGGTAGATGTGAGCCACATGACAGTTAAAGCCAGAGTTCAGCCAGGATGATGACTTGTTGCATAATCTGTTTAGTATTTTCTTGCCTGATTGCAGATTGTCAGTAATCCAAAATCAATTCCAAAGTGGATGCATCCAGCTGGACTAATGGGTAGCAGGGGAAGAACCTAAATCCTGGCCTGGCTTGCCAGAAGACATGGTCTTGGTGGAAAATGTTTAGACAGTACAGAGCTGAGGTGAAATAAAAATTGTCTATTTAATAGTCTCACAAACTGTTTCACATTCTGATGTTTAAATCGCCACCTCCTATCAGGTCTAATAATAGCTGTAAGTTACTGATTAAGTTTTACTAATGTTCACTTGTGGTTCTTTGTATTTAACATTTATTTTGACTATAGAAAATAAATAGCTGCCCCATTCTTGATTCATGTTAAAGTACCTTTCTACACCTCACTTTGGGTAGAGGTTGGACATAAGTCCAACCAAAGTTATAAGTAACTTTTTCCCTGGGGCTTTAATGAGAAAAGGAGACTAACCTCTCTTTAGAGGCCAAACTTCCCTAGAACTGGGTCCAGTCACTAGGCTAACCTGGGTACTGAGCGGAAAAGGCCATATAATAAAGAAGCAGAGGGAACAGCATTCCAGTCTTTGAATCATTAGATTATAGAATTAAAGCCAGAAAGAATCTTAGTGGTTACCTTGTTTAAACCCTTCTTTTTACAAATGAGGAAACTAAAGAAAGGCCAGAGAAGTGAAGTTGCCGTTCAGTTGCATCTGACTCTGTGACCCCATTTGGGATTTTCTTGGCAGATACTGGAGTGGTTGGCCATTTCCTTCTCCAGCTCAGTTTACAGAATGTCATTAATACAACAGAGAAAACTGAGGCAAACTGTTAAGTGACTTGCCCAGGGTGACACAGCTAATAAGTCTCTGAAGTCAAATTTGAACTCAAGAAGATGAGTCTTCCTGATTCCAAGCCCAATGTTCTATCCCTCTGTGCCACCTAGCTGCCCCTAAGAGAAGTGAAAGGTCTTGCCTAAAGCCACATCTCTGCCAAGAACTAGCAACCCTGCACATTTTCGGCATTTAATAAATGTCTGTTGATTTACCTTGCCTTAAGTAAAACAGGGAATATATGAGTAAGACTTTCTTATTAGAAGGAGGAAACTCCAAGAAGTTAGTCACAAAGCCCAGGGAGTATCACAGAATCACAGAGTTGGAAGGGGTTGAGTAGCATCACCCTGGATCCAAAACCTGACATTCATTCATCCATCATTTGACTAAAGGACTCTATTGTTGGGAAATGTCACCTCTGTCTCACAGAATCCCTCTGTTTCTTGAAGACATAGCTCAAGCACCAAATTCTACATAAAACCTTTCCTGAACCTTCCCCACCTTCCCTCCCAACATAGCTTTTATTTAACCACTTTGTATATATTGGTATCTATTAACTCTATATTTATGCTCTATCTATCTATCTATCTATCTATCTATCTATCTATCTATCTATCTATCTATCTATCCATCTATTACTTATACTTATTGTCTTCCCCATTAAAACATAAGCTCTTTGCTTATATTCTTTGGGATTGCTTCATTTTTTGTACTTGCATACCTAGCTACCTAACACAATTCTTGACACATAGTAGGAGCTTAGTAAATGTTTGTGAATTGATTATTCTGCATACACGCTCTCATGTTATGTATGTATTGTCTCACCTGATAGAATGTGAGCTCCTTAAGAAGAGGAATAGTCCCATTCTTTGAATTTCTATCCACAGCCCCTAGCATAGTACTTAGCATGTAGTAGGCACACCATAAATGGGTAATGATTAATTAATTGGACTTATGATATACTGAGGCAGATCATTCCCCTTTGGGGTAGCTCTGATTGTTAAGAAGTTTTTTTCCTTCAATCACATTGAATCCACTACTTTGCAGATTATCTTAGTTTTGACTTAGAGATCCAAGCCAAATAAACCTAATCCCTCTGTCACACGATGCCCATTCAATATGTGAAGACATTTATTACACCCTCCCACAAATATCTGCTTCAGGCTAAATATTCTTCAGCTGATTCTCATTGGACATTGTTTCTCATTCTCTAAGCTCTTCGAGGGCAAAGACTGTCTTTTGTCTCTTTCTGTATCCCCAGTGGGTGCTTAATAAATGTTCATTTAATTCAGTTAAACTGTATTCCTATCTCTGGACATACTCTAGCCTGTCAGAATCCTTCCTAAAAGGTGGAGCCCAGAACTGAAAGTGGAATGATGGATGTACAATACACAGAACACAGTAAAGCAAGACTCTTAACCTCCCGCATGCAAGATACAATGCCTCTCCTAAGGCTGCCTTCCATCCCATTAGCTTTTTAGATTACCATCTTACACTTTTGCTTCCTAATGAGCTTGTAGTCCACTAAAAACCCCAGTTGGTTGTCTGACAAACTGTTTTTTACCATGTCTCTCTACTTGTATTTTGTGAGCCCAAGTGAAGGACTTTAAATTTAGCCCTGGAATATTTAGTCTAATTAAATGTAGACTTACCCCAGTGATTTAGCTTTTGAAGTAAGATCTTTCTGGATCCTATCATCCAGTAGGTGAGTTGCAGAGCTGGTATTCAAGGCTGGCTCCTCCAACTCCAAATCGGAGTCTCTTTCCACTTCGCTAGGCTAAGATATCTGGAAGCACTTTTTGTATGGTGAAGATCAAGGAGCTCTTGCTGCTGTAATTAAATATCGAATAATATCTTGGCTAAATTTCCTTTATTTAAGATAGGCATCTGACTACTGGAATAGTTCTGCTCTAGACTTAGAAATTAATGTGTCTTGGAGATTAGAGCTGACAGGAGTGATGTGTGTTTAAAAACAGGAGAAAGCACCAGGCTCTGGCCTAACTAAATTACATTTCTCCTGTTGCTATCAACTTCCCATTAGCTGTAGGTGAACGTCATTAGTGCCACAGGGGAAAGAATAAGAAATGATTTGAAAATGGTTTTGACAGCAAGAAGAAGTAGTGTTAATAAAACTATGAGAGCAGCTGAAACAGGCACAGTACAAGAGATGCCTTAGGGAACTTGCTGCTAGTCCATAGATGATTTTTATGGATAGTTACATGTGGGATTGTTGTTAGCATACATGGCATTTTATAAATGGCTCTAAGTCTCTGTATAAAACATGACTATTTTCTGCCAGGCAGACCAGGATTCTGGGCCTATTGGTCTGAGTTCCACAGGGAGGCAAGATGGTATTTTAGGGTAAAAAAATTATTCTACAAGGAAAGTCATTCAAATATTATTCCCATTTTATAGATGAGAAGACTGAGTCTCAGAAAGGTTAAATGAATTGTTCTTGGTCACATAGCTAATAAATATCAGAGGTAAAATTCAAACCCAAGTTTTTCTTACTCTAAGGCAAGCAATCTATACTCTACTCTAGGCTGCTTAGAAACAGTAGCAATAGCAGCAACTTTTCCTCCTCTATTCTCTTCTTTCCCACATTTGCATGACAAAATATTAAAGAGTGGAAGAACCCAAAGAAAGCTTCTAGTAGATCAGTTATGGTGCGCTTATAAAAATGCATGCATAAGGAATGAACAAGATAGGTAAATGTGTATACCAAGCTCTATGGACACCAGGCAGTTCATGGGTACATTAAAATATTGCTGTATTTATACATTTTAGTAGACCCAGCTCTTGGGACCAGACTCATCCCCAACTCATACTTTCAATTCCCATGACTGCCCCAGGATGAAAGTACTCTGTGGGTCCATAGGCCTGTAAGTATAGCTCACGAGTCCCTAACAGAGCATTTTCCTTCAATAGTCAGCCAGAGGGTATAATTCAAAACAATGGCATTAATTGAAATGGTAGAGTAGTAAAAGATATCTATAAAACATGTGGTCCCTTAAGTCCAGGCACACTCTCCCACAGATACATACATCAATAGGAAGAATGTACATTTATATAGAATATACTAGTAGAGAGAAATAGACAGATAACACATTAAGCAAGATAACTCACACTTCTGGGGAGGACTGTGCGGCCCTAATATCTTTTCTCACGTTTTCACATAGTTGCCCCTCAGCACAGCATCTTTCTGGGCAGATTATTCTACTGGGTTCCTTGGGCCTGCTCTTTTTCAAATCAGCAGCTGGACATTCTGGGCCTACTCTCTGCTGGGTGGGGTGTCTGCTAGTGGACAAGTTGCTGTGCATTAAGATACCAATGCAAATGTTGACAGGGGTGGGGGGGGGAAGAGAAAGAAACCCCCTTCTACCCTCCTGTATTCTGAAATGGATACAAGGAAAAAGGAGAAGAGGAATTCCCTCCCAAGCTCCGACTTCTTTCTTTACTGCTAGGAATGACACTCTTAACTGACAGAGCTCTTGATATCCCAACTACCCCCAGAATGGATAAGCTTCATTTTGAAAAGGCTACCAGGGGTCAGCTAGGAGGCACAGTGGATAGAGCTCTGGCTTTGGAGTCAGGAGGACCTGAGTTCAAATCTGATCTCACACACATAACATGTACTAGCTATGTGACCCTGGGCAAGTCACTTAACCCCAACTGCCTCACCAAAAAGCAAAAAAAAACAAAAAAACAAAAGAAAAGAAAAGGCCACCAGGATCCTGTTTGAGCTCTCAGCCAGTTAAAGGCTAGCCATATTAAAATTCCATCAGGTTTGATTGGGGAACTTTTTCAAACTTCCTACAAAAACAAAGAAGGGTTTTTTTTTCTGTTTTTTGTTTTTTTGTTTGTTTTTTTTTTACACTTCCTTTGTGAATCTTTTACCATGACATTTAAGGTTTTGTTGTCATTTGGTCTTTTTAGTCATGCCTGATTCTTTGTGACCCTATTTGGGATTTTCTTGGCAAAGATAGTGGAGTGGTTTGCCATTTCTTGCTGCAGCTCATTTTATAGATGAGGAAACTGAGGCAAACAGGGTCACACAGCTAGTAAGTATCTGAGACCAGATTTGAACTCAGGAAGATCAGTCTTCCTGATTCTAAGCCCAGTCCTCTATCTACTGCATTACCTAGCTGGCATTTAAGTTTCACAAAGTGCTTTTTTCAAAAATACCATGTAAAGTAGGTAATGCTAATATACCCATTTTATAAATGAAGAAATTTAATCTTTGAGAGATTCAGTGAAATAGTATAGGCTGAGATGATCTAAGATTCCCTGTTCTCACATGGTTAGAAGATGCCAGCTAGATATAATGATAATAGCTAATACTTACATGATGCTTTGATGTTTGTAAGATGCTTTGTGCATCTAATTTGATCCTCAGAAATGCCCTAGTTCAGGGATGATGGGAAACCTGTGACCTTGAGACCACATGTAGCCCTCTAGGTCCTCGAGTGCAGGCCTTTCAATGAGTCCAAGTTTTACAGAACAAATCCTTTTATGAAGGGGATTTGTTTGTGAAGTTTGGATTCAGTCAAAGGGCTGCACTTGAGGACCTAGAGGGCTACATGTGGCCTGGAGGCTGCAGGTTCCCCGCCCTGCCCTACTTAAATGCTTAGAGATAGTATGATGTCACGGAAAATACTCTGGATTTAGAATCAGCAGATCAAATCCTTCTTCTATCACTTACTATTACCTCTGTGTCCTTGGACAAATCACTTCACCTCTAGAACTTAATTTTCTTATCTGTAGAATGAGGGGTTGGACTAGGGAGCTTCTCAAGTAACTTCCAGCTCTAATCTGTGATCCTATGCCTTGAATTTTAGAATTGACTTTGAGTCTCACTTCTTTTAAATCTGTAAAATGAATAAAATGAGACTAGATGATTTACACTATCCCTTCCAATGACAACATTCTTTGATTCTACTGAACTCTATTTGGTGGGACATGAGCACTAGCAGGAAATACCCTACTAAGGCAGCTAGTGGAATGGTGGATAGCGTGTTAGTCTTGAAATCAGGAAGACCTGAGTTAAAAATTTGGCCTCAGACAGTTACTAGATATATGACTTTGCGTCAAGTGTGACCCTTGCCTCAATTTGCTCAGCTGTAAAATGGAGATAATAATAGCACTTGCCTCCCAGGGTGGTTCTCTGTAAGAATTAAATAAGATAATATTTGTAAAATGTGCCTATCACATAATTGGTGTTATATAAATACTAATTCCCTTCCTTACCCATTGTGCCCCCAAAATGCTTCCTCCTCCATTTACTAAAATTTTATAACTTTTACAGCCACCCTTCTGACACAAAAGACCCAACTACACTCTGAGAACCTCTCTCATTCTGATAACTGCTCCTAACCGAGTAGGCTGGGTAAACTTCAATAACCTGGCACACCTCAAAGAGTAACCACAACCTACCCTTGCAAGCATTCAGTCTAACAAGGCTTGAAAGCAATGAGTTTTATTTACGTATGAAAGAACCCACTTCTGAGCCCACTGAGAAGCAAAAGACTCACTCTACCTTATGATGGATCACCCTTCCAAAATTTCTTACAGTTATTCCTTAGAGTAGGGAACCATAAAAGGGGAATTCTAGAGTCTGATCCCTCACAGTGTTGCTTGGCTGCTCTAAGCATGGCAGGAATTCTATGTTCTCTGCACTACTGTCACTATCTTTTCTAATTCTCAATATTCAGCTCTCCACCAGCAAATAATGCTAGCTGTCAAGAGGCTAGATCATTCAAGTATTAATGGTGAACTTAGTCTCAGGTTGCAATGTTACAGTTCCTTGCTGAAGACTGGGCTTCAAGTGCCATTAGGGTTCAGAGCCTTCTGTTGTTTTACATTTGAATGCAATGGTTTCAGGCTTCCCCAATTCTGTTTTCTGCTCCAGGTCAGCTTGCTTCCCTCCTTCCTCCAGTGCCAGGATGATCTGCCCACCACTCACATCAGCACCGCTTTCTGCATCTTTTGGAGACTTTGAGAGCCACTACCAGCTTCTATTTGCTTTTCCATCTCTGATTGTCCTTCTGGATAGCTGTACCTGATTATACAAATTATTTCTGGCCAATTTTCAAAGATTTCCAAAAGAGAGCTGCACAGATTAAAGCTCCTGGTGGATACTCTAACAAAAGATGTTTAGGATTTAAGAGGGAGAGACACAATTCCTTACTACATGACCATTAGAGGAAAGAGTTATAATAGCAACAACAGTAATAAAATGTTAGCAATAGCTGACACATGCAATACGCTAAGATTTACAAAACTATATATATCTATATCTATATCTATATCTATATCTATATCTATATCTATATATGTACATACATACACTATGTGTGCACATATACATATACATGTATACACCTATATGTATGTGTATATATATACATATAAATATGTTACATTATGTATGTATTTGTATGTATGTATGTATGTATGCGTGTGTGTGTGTGAGAGAGAGAAAGAGAGAGAGAGGGAGAGAGAGAGAGAGAGAGAGAGAGAGAGAGAGAGAGAGAGAGAGAGAGAGAGAGAGAGAGAGAGAGAACAGCACTTATATATACTTAGCTCTCAGCTCTTCCTGACTGACAGGCTGAATTGATAATTAGCAAATTCTTCATCACTTGAGGTCTTCAAGCAGAGGCTGGATAAGGGCTTGCCAGATATATCATAGAACTATATAGGGAGTCTTGCCAAGAATCACAGCTCATAATTAATTTGGTTTCAGGTCAGATT